ATTTTGTAGGGACTACGAATGGGTAAACGTGCTGCAGCTCTTGTCTTAGCATTGTGCTTGAACAGTGTCTGAAAATGTGAATATAAATCTGGGATATTTGGGTTCCAGTTTTATAATGCACTTACATGCTTGGTGAATATCCTGCATTTAATCATCTTCAGCACATTGGGATTGAGAGGTGCTGTGAAAGACATGTGGTTTATTACTATGTAAAGAAGAGATCTTTCATATTGACTCTAACATTTATTTGCATCTGTGCTCTGATCACGTCATTTAACTGCTTTACCTCAGTTGTTTCATCTGAGAAGTAAGAATGCTGGAGCTTGACCTTTTACCAGGCAATGTAGGAAGACTAATTTGTAAGTGTGTGCCATGGACTTCAGAGGAGTCTGTCAGTATGAAAAAGTATAACTCAGAATTGTTTGTCTTGCACTTGAAAGCACTTGCACAGAACCCAGATCCTGAGCAGAGCTAACTGCTGCTACTGCTGAAGGCAATTCACTGTGCTCAGCAGAATTGGAGTCAGACTGAAAACTTAAGACTGACAGTGGAAATCCAACATTTGGGAAGAACCTAACATTTTTAGAACCACAGTAGACTTCAGAGGCCAGTGCAGTCAGTGATAGCTTTCCACTGACTCCAACAGGCTTTGAACCTAATTTTCTACCTTCCACAACTGACTCAAGTACTTCTCATCACCAAGTCTACCTCTTCATCTTCTACTTTGCTCAGAAAACAGGAATCCAACGTGCTCTTCTCACCAAGAGGCAAGTCTCTCTCTTTTGCAGCAGAAAAGGAGGAAAACAGAATGTTGCTTTTGCGTCAGCTATCAAAAAATGTAGTATCCTGATTAAAAATTTAAATGGAAAAGAATTCTGAAGGAATGGGACACATATTTATGGAATTGAGTGGCTTTTTCCCTGGAGCTGAATTTGGAATTGGATTTGATCCTGAGATAGTTATAGAATTGTAAAGCTGGTTTTATGGAGCTGTAAAAACTCAGCATGATGTTGAAGGAGAAAAATTCAAACTCTCAAAAAATGGAGTAAAGAAGGATTTTTGGATTCAAGGGAGCCAGGAGCAGCACATCAGTTTCATCTACAGATTCTGGATCCACATGGAGATGGTGACTCCATCCATATGGATTCGGAAATGACAGACAGTGTCTACCAACACACTCAGCTGTAGAGATAAAACCTGCTTTATGGGAAATCAGATCTGTATGCTAGAGAAATGTTTATGTAATTAATCTCATGCCTTCTGAATTCCAGGTAAGAACTTCCTGAAAGTAAGAGGAGTAAAAGAGATAGATGCTATATGGCCTACTAGCCTTGATTTCAGTGCAGCCACCTATGGTGTGGAGGAATATGTATGAAAATCATGAAAACTAATCCTGAGAGCTAGCAGAAGAAAAGGCAGGAAGTGTTTTATCCAGTTACTAATGAAAAATTAAGGTTATTGGTACAAGAGAGTAGGGTAAGTGTAAAGATAATAGCAGTTCATTTGATGAAAAATGTAGAAGAAAAGCTAATGGAAAGTGATGCTTCTTGGCTAGAGCATTCTGTTTGCACAGAGTTGGCCTCACAAGATCTGGCATTGGGCACAACTTCCAGATGGTAGGCAGGATTGAGAGTAGTGTGGGTGGGGACTTCCTCCAGCTTTCCTGCTGCTCACACTGCAAGTGATGTTGAATGTCAAGACTGTATACCCATCCCACTGATGCAGGGTTGATTGCTGGCAGGGGCAGGCTGGGAATAAACAACTTTCTGGGGAGGAAGCAGTAAAAAGCGTATAAATGGTTGCTTGAGAGATAGGGGATGGGAGACTGTGAACATATGTCTATGGAACTGGGACCCTTCTTTAAGGAGGCAGCAGTGGTAAACAGCAGAAGGACAGGGGAACTGAAGCTCTTGTGCTGGCATCTGCTGTTGGGTGCTGTTAGGAGACCAGGGCTGTGAGGAGCAAGAGATGAGATTTCTATTGAGAAAATGGGGAGGTACAAGAGAGGCTAAACATTTAGAGGATGTTTGCTGAACTTGATACATGGGGAGGGAAGAAAGAGTGTGGAAGAGTTTAAAAGGCGATCTAGGTCTTGGTTTGTTATAGGAGCTCTATAGGAGACTTATACAAGAAGAGTGGGCAGGGCAGGGTACATGCCTTCTACTAGAACCTCTTTTTCTACATCCAGTTTCTGTAGGTAACTCTAGACATATACTCCCAGTCATCTGATACAAAGATATTGCCTTCCTTCTTACTACATCCTCCCAAGAATGATCTTGTTGGACAAGCTTTCCATCTCTTTATGAGACTCTTTAAGGTTGATGTTAGTCCATGAGGCTCTGCAGGCCTTTGTTTGTCAAGCTGCTTCCAGAAAACCAGCCTTAGAGTGAAGAAAATATTTTGACCTCTCCTTCCCCGCAAGCTGACAACAGAACCTTCTAAGATGCAAGCTGGAATCTGTTGCCATGTTGTACCTGAAGACACCTGAAGTCTCTGGTGTCACTCTCTGACAGGACACATGATATCCTCAGCTCAGATCTTTTTTGGTTTTGGCTCCTGTTCTCTGCTGTGGGAACTGTGTCTTTGTTGAGAAAACATGTCAAGAATACTGGCTACAGAAACCTTTCACTTTCAGATGAAGTCATTACCAGTTTGCTCACATTGGATGGGCTTGCTCTGTCTGAGTGAAATGTGCTGTTTTCTGCATGTAAACTTGCATCTATTGTTTGTGTCTCATGTGTTCAATAAACTGAAAGATCAGAGGAGAGATATCAACGTATGCAGTCTTTTCTAGCCATATGTTACCTACATCCACTACCATTTTGTGTAAGGAAGCAGATTTCGTTCCTGTGACTGCATGTCTTCCAGCATGGAAACTGCATTCCTGGAAAGATTTTACAATATCAGATGTGAGGAGGGGAGAGATTTAGGAAGTGGAGAATGGATGTGAACTGTGTAGGAGACTGAAAATGCTGTAAACGTGGTCTTTATCGTACACATTGTTGGGACCTAAGCCAATGCTGTTCTCCTAAGTATGCAGGCAGACACAAGGAAACACTATGTCCCTCACTGGAAAGCTGAGCATGGCTGCTTGACATCTCACTTGCCTAAGGGGCTCCATTGTGCTCACTGGACCAAAGAAGCAAAATGAGAGGAAAAACCTGCACATGGAAGAATTTCTCATGCCAAGTACAGTCCTGCTACTTATGTTGAGAACAGACAGTGAAATGCAGTGTAGATGGCTAACCCCATTTCTTCTGACTACCTTTCCAACGTAGTGAGGCTTTATTTAATTGGGTTTAGTAGTTTTATTCTTAATGGTGTTAATTTCCTCTGCAGCTGCAGCATTTCATTTACTAAGCTGCTGCATGAATGTCCCAGCGTTGCAAGCCATAATGATCCTATTTTTTGGAAGACAGTAAAGTGTTATGTTTACCTGACTCTGAAGGCTGTTTGCTGCATACCAATGAAGTCATAGCTATAACTGCAGCAATCTTCCTCTGTTCCTCTGACTCTGGTTTTCCATACACTGGTAGCACTGTTAGAAGGTACCACTTCTTCTACAAAAAAAAAAAAAAAAAGATGCCATTAAGCACGTCACACTCATTCCCTCAGCTCTCTGTAGCTCTGTAGCTTGGCATCTGAAGTACAGTCTCAGTCCAGTCTGAATAATCTGTGGCAGGAAAGAAAAAGGCACATGGGGAAAACCACACAGGGGGATTTTAAAGAATTCCAGTGTCTCAGGAAGCCAAAAACACAAAGCCACAGTATCTTGGCTTGAAATGTAAGTTTCCTTTGATCACAGCATACTACACAGTTGCAGTATTTAGCATCCTTTTTTGGAGGTCAAGACCAGAATGATTTACGTAAGACTGACTAAGGTTTCCCTGGAAAGGATGCCATTTTGTAGAATCCAATATGCTATTCTGGAGGGAAAAGAACAGCCTGTGAAAATACCACCTAGAGCGTTTCTCTTCTGTTCGAATGCAGTTTGGTCTCCTCCCTTGTGCATTGCACTGATTGCACTTTTGAACACCTCTGTACTTTCCTTAGTGCCAAAGATTTGTTTAATGTGCTACTGTTGCACATGCAAAACTTTTTCTTCTCTTGGTTGTTAGTCCAGATATGCTACTTTGCTTTGCCTCTGAGCAAACGTTCAGCATTACCATACTCAGATACAAGGCAGGGAAACCAGAGGGATCTAGGATAGATGGGATTCTGAGTAGAAGGCCCTTTAGAGTAATCATGCTTAGCAAAGTTCTTCCAGAATTATTTTGAGATGGTCTGCAATTGGTAGGTTAGATTAAATAAAGCATATAGACAATGCACTGACATGATGAACATCTGCCTGGGTGCTACAATCTGAGGACGAAAGGGAATGGCTAGAGGGACTGGTTTCAAGCTGCGCCAGGGGAGATTTAGACTAGATGTTAGGAAATACTATTTTTCTGAAAGAGTGGTCAGGCGCTGGAATGGGATGCACAGGGAAGTGGTGGAGTCAGCGACCCTGGAAGTGTTCAAGGAACATTTAGATTTTGTGTTGAGGGATATGCTCTAGTGAGTACTACTGGTGATAGGTGTATGGTTGGACTGGATGATCTTGTAGGTCTTTTCCAACCTTGGTGTTTCTGTGATTCTGTGAAAGGTTTATTCTTCCTTACATCCTTCCTTTGCTTTTCTGCTGCCAGCTAGTGTTTCCTTTGGGACAGAGCTCAGGATATATGTTTTAGATGTATGGGGTGATGCATGATCTGTACTAGATGGCAGGTGAAAAGACCCTTCCCCCATAACCTCTCCAGGTTGAAGCCTCCCCTTGCTGTATGGATAACAGAGCAAATAAACCAACCTGTGATTCCTTCTTTTACCCATTATATAACAGGTTTGAGGAAGGGAAGGGCTTTTAGTGATTTTAGAAATCTCCCTCATTAACACAGATCCAGCCGTGGATATAATACTGAGATCCTAGGAACTAGCTGAAATTTGCTTTTCCCTGTCCCCAGTGTTGGTGTTCCTGTTGCTGAAGTATGCTGGACTCATGGATCTGGCTCCTTGCTTCCTGCTCAGAAGCAAGATGGAAGGATTTCTCTACTCCGAGGGATGGCTACCTTGCACTCTCAGCCCTGGGAAACAGCCAGAGCAGAGCTGAGGAGGACCTGGAAGCCCAGGGGTAACCAACCACTTCTCTATCACTTCCAGAGCTGTCTGGGAAGAACACTGAAAACCTCAATCTGACTAGGACTGATCCCTGGATTCTGCACCCTGCAGAACATTCAGAAGGGTTTCCTGGGTCACCAACATGCATGGGACTGCCACTTGTAGATGGTGCTGCGAGGGAAGGACTTAGTGATCTGCCTCTGTTGTGGTCTCATCGTTCCACATAAATTGCCAGGATCCATGGTCCTTAGAGGCTCCTGGCTGTTTGCTAGGGAAGTAAAGGAAGCTCTTGTCTGTCATTGGTGACATGATCAGAAGCACAGACATGCTGCAAATCAGCTGATTTTGGGACTCTGCAGAATCTGCTACAGAGAAGGCCAGAAAGAGATGAGGAAGGGACATGATTTAGAGAGGAATAATAGAGATTATTCCTCTTATCAAGAGATCCAGGAGAAGTCTTACAGAGCAGGGGCATTCATCAGGATTTCCTGTGTTGTCCTGTTTGAATGTGGCTATGAAAGTGATTACTAAAGGACAGAGAGAGTAACAAAAGGGGAGATACCTATGTTCTGAAGATTTTCAGAGATAAATGTCAGGTTGGAGATCTGTAAAGAGGACTGATGAGATTTCCATCAAATGTTTTAATTTTGGCCAGCTACAGGGCAAATACCATTATTTGTCTCCACAGGCAGGGAATGTCTATCATTCCCTTTCTTCCCAAGGAACAGATGAGATGGAGGAGGAAGCAAAGTGAAATCTCTAGAGTAGAGAAGAGATGGAGAATCTGGAAAAAATATGTTTCCCAGAGTCCTGAGTATGGCAAGACTCTAGGGAGTTGTCAACAGAGGAAGAAGCAAAACAAGAATCAGTTAACCCCTGAAAGAGATTTCCAGCAGTCTGGTGTGAAATGCCACTACAGGTAAGAGAATCTGCAAGGAAAGCACTAGAGGAAGTTCAGTGGCCCTGGCATGGCTTGCAGTATCAGTGCCATAGTAATGCCTGCTAGCCAGCCCATAGGCACACCAACCCATCCCTTGCCATGACTCCACTGTCACTCAGGGCTTTACTGTAATGATTTATTATTGCTGTCACTTAAGAAATAACAGAAAGGTTATGCTCTCTTTACACATGCCCAGCTTGTGGACCTTACCTCTATATCTACTGTTCCCCTTGTGCTGGTAGAGCAACTTTTCCACTCTTACGTAAGAGTGAAAGGGTTCTGATGGTTACTCTGTTTTTCTGAGTAAAATAAGAAAAAAAATGTTTTTGCAGCTGTTTCCAGAAAAGACCAGACACACAGAAGAAAATCCAATAAATGATTAACTCAGTCTTTCCATCTGCGGATAATAGTGTCTCTGGAGTTTTTGTGGTTTTTGTTGTTGTTTTGTTTTGTTTATTGCTAGCCTTTTCTTTCCCCCATGGAAAGAGGCATTTTCTGTTTGATTTGAAATGCAGTGTCCTGAGCTGTTTTCTGGCAAACACCTGGATGATGTGTTCCTTCCACCTTTGAATGAAGAGGAATAAATTGCAAGTTAGCTTCCTGTACTCCTCTCATCTCCTTGTTAGAGAATAATGAGCAAGAGAGCATGTTTATAGCCAAAATATTATATCTGTCCCTTCTGTTGCCTTTGCCTGCCTCTCACAACTGTTTGTCGTGTCCAGTATTTCCCAGTATCACCTCCACTTCCCTGCATCCTGCTTGCTCCTGCTGACAACCAGATCACCTGCCTTTTGTCCTCAAACCATGTTTACAATCAGTTCCAACTCACCTGTGCTGCTGTGGAACCCATGGTGCTGGCAGTGACCTTGACTCTGAGATTTGCAGCACCTTAGTCTCTGGAACAGGCTGGACATTCCTGCTGAGCTTGCTACTTTCATCAAAGTTGACTACTGGATTTCTGCCACCCCTTTTTTTCTTCCCTCCCCTCCCCTCTTCTCCCCTCCCCTCTCCTCTCCTTCCTTCCTTTCTTTCTCTCTCTCTCTCTCTCTCTTTCTCTCTCTTTCTCTCTTTCTTTCCTTCTCTCTTTCTCTCTTTCTTTCCTTCTCTCTTTCCTTCTCTCTTTCTCTCTCTGTTTCTCTCTTTCCTTCTCTCTTTCTTTCTCTCTCTTTTTTTTTTTTTATAACCTAGATTGGGCTGTCAGGTCATCTAATTTCCCTGAGAACTGCTTGTCTATAGCAATATTTTGGGATTTATTATTGCCTTCATGCCATAAGCGATGATCAGTAGTGTAAGAAATACCACCTTTCCCTGTGCAAATCTCAGGGGGGTTGATGCCAGAACCTATCATCCTCCTTTGCAGTGAAGTAAACTTACCCAGACTTACTGGGTTACTGACTTACTGACTTACCTTGTCAGCATGACAGAGGCCTGTGGATCATCCTTTTCCAAGCCAGTAAATATTCTCATCTCCCAGCCCAATGGCAGACAGCATATTCCCAGCAGCCCATGTCTGAGTGACTCGGGCCAGGTGCCATGGCCAGAGAGAAAAGGTCAAATTCTTATCAACGGAACACAAATAGGAAAAAAAGCAAATCAAAGTGCAACGGCCACCTATGCATCTAGGGCTGGGCCGTGGCCAGCTGTATTGCACAGAGTAGTGCCAACACACCAAACCCCTCAAAAAAGCATCTTTTGCTTTCAGCTTCCTGCTGGCCAGCACCAACATTACCTCAGCCTGGCCAGAGAGAAGCCAGATGGAGCAAATCGCCTTCTCAGAGATCCAGATACTGGGTGTTTTTTTTTTCTGCTGCGTCAGCCAGCTCAGATGTGGCACAGATGGGGATCTGTGGCCTGAAGGTCTCAGGATCTCTGGGGAACACACAGCAGATGGGACAAAATGGCACCAGGGTAGAAAGGCGTGTGGATCCTTAGACCTGGCTGGGAGAGGGGTGAAGGCCGATAGCTCTGCTCCCTGCCAACCATGGATGAGTGGGTGAGGGTCTTACCTCCTTACTCCTTTGGGCACAGGGCTCAGCTGCAGGCTGCAGCTCCAGCACAACACATCACACCCTCAGGATCCATGCCAGCCACTTAGAGGATGGGAAAGCCATGTTTACAGCTGGCTGTTCGTAGAGAAGAGAGATGGCTATAAGTTACCTCTGGTCTGAGGGACCAGGTGGCAAAGGCACCAGGTGGCCTGCCTTCTTCAGGTGGCACAGGTAGGAAGCAAACATGGCAGTGTCCAGGTGGATACAGAGCTGTAGATGGTTGGAAGAGGGTTTTGGGCTTAGAAGAGCACTGCAAGCCATGTGGCCATGATGGGAGGAGTGCAGGGCCAGGCTGTGGATGGAGCTTCCAGACTGGGTGGAAGAGCAAAGGGATGGTGGACACGGACCATGGCCTGATCTGCAAAGCATAATGCCCACAGGTGTGACCAAGTGCCAAAGCTGTGATGGCTGTCCATGCTGGGATGCCCCATGTCCTGCACATGCAGGTATGTCCCCAAAGGCAGAGCCCCTCACTATAAGGCATTGTGACCATGAAGCATGTCCAGAGAAGGGCAACAAAGCTGTGAAAGGTCTGGAGCACAAGTCTTACGCTGAGAAAACTGGGATTGTTCAGTCTGGAGAAGGCTTAGGAGAAACCTTATCACTTTCTACAACTCCCTGACAGGAGGCTGTGGCGAGATGAGTGTTGGCTTCTTCTCTCAGGTGACAGCAACAGGACAAGCTCAAATGGCCTCAAGTTGTGCCAAGGGAGGCTCAGCTTGGATAGAAGGAAAAATTTCTCAGAAAGAGTGCTGAGGCATTCGAGCAGGCTACCCACTGTCCCTGGAGGTGTTCAAGAACCATGTGGATGTGTCACTGTTGGTGGGCATAGTGGGGACGGGCTGGTGGTTGGATGTGGTGACCTTAGAGGTCTTTTCCAGCCCTAATGATTCTATGATTCTCTGATACTGCACCACCACTCTGCCCACAGCCCACGACAATCCCAGAACTGCAGATGATAGGTAAGGTGTCACTGGCTGTGAAGATGTCCTAGCAGAGCTGCATATGCTGACTACGAGTTGGAAAGAACTTTCAATCATATTTCCACCTCCATCAAACCCTGCAGATGCCCAGTAGAAAGCCCAGAGAAGTTCTGTTGGGTTAAAGAAATGGAAGCTTTCAAATGCTGCAGAACAAAATGTAAGTGAGGAAATGAGCATCCTCCTTCCTCCACTCTGCTAGCCTCTCGCCTAGCTTCTGCCACAAAGCCCATGACATCTGTGCATATTTTATAATGCAGCTTCTCATGGGGAAACTCAGCTCTCACTGAAGGGACGGGTTGTAGTTTCTGGTTGGAGAGCCCCAGCACGCAACTGTATGGTCAGAAACCCGAAGCTTTGAGACAACTTCCAGTGAACTGTGAAAAACAAGTCAGAGCCGAGGGTTCAGATAGGCTGCTCAGAAGACATCTGTGCTCTTTTGCGCTCTGCATCAGGCTGCTTGGAAAAGCCCCTGGGCTGGAGCTGGGTATTTCTGTAGCGGCTGCAGGCGAGCTTCACAGAATAGAGAGCGCAGAGGAGAACAGCACGTCCTGACGCCCGCGGGCTTTTGGAAGCGCCTCTCACACACGCCGTCGTTATGGGTACGCGTTCTGTTTTGCGTTTCGCACTCGGCTGCTTTCGGTAATCCCGAAATTCTTTTTTTTTAATCTTTTTTACGAGCACGTGGTACCTCTCGTTCCTCTTCCCTTTCACTACCTCCCCCCGCTGCCTTCCCCTTCCCCCCTCCCGTGCCGCCCGACTCCCGGCCCTGCCCGCCCCCGCCCCGCCCCGCCCCGCCGGGCCCGGCCCGGCCCGGCCCCGCCGCCGGCCTGCTCCCGCCGCGCCCACCGTACAGGGGCCGCCCGCGGCCGCGCTGCCCGGCTCCGCCGCCGGCGCTGCGGCCGGCTGGGCTCCACGGCGCGGCGCGGCCTCGTGGGAGGGCGGCTGCGATCCGCCGTGGCCGGCGATGGGAGATGGACGGAGCCGGCCGAGCGGTAAGGGCGGCGTGCGGAGCGGGAGCGGGGCGGGGGCCGCCCGCCCGCCCGTCGGGGGCACCTCTTCCCTTTCGTCTACTTGTCCTTTTCTCCTCTCTTCACTTTTTCTTTCTTCTTTTTTTTTTTTTCTTCTTCCTATTACTTTCTTTTTATTTTCTTCGTTTTTTAATCTCCACTTTTATTTAGCTTTTCCTTCTCTCCCTCCCCCCCTTTCCTTTTCTCTTTTAACTTTAACTTTTTTTCGTTTCCTTTTCCCCTTTTTTTTTTTTGCCTTTCTTTTTTCTTTTTTTTCTTTTTTTTTTTTTTTTTTCCCCTTCCCCCTCTTCGTTTCACCATTTATTCTTTTTTTTTTTTTTTTTTTTTTTTTTCCTCCTTTTCTTTTTTTCTTCCCTCTCTTCTCACATTCCCCTAAAGGAGCAAAATCTCAGAGCCCGCCTGCTCTCACTGCTACCAGATCCCCAGCCGCACCAGCCGCCCCAGGGAGGCAGCGCTGGGACTCCGTCCCGTGGCTGGGACCCTTAGTCTGCATCCTGAACGATTGATTTTGCTTCTATCTCCGTGTAACTTGTCAGTATAACAAATAGGCACTCTTGCTGCACTGATAGGCTCTTCTAATCATGCCAAATTCTTGAATTAAAGAAGATTTAGTGCAAAACCCAGCAAGTTAGTACCATTGTGCTTTTTGAGTAAAACAAGGGTTCAGGCAAATTCACCAAAGATACAAAGTTTTACAGCATGGAACTTGGACAGATACGCTCTTGCACAAACATCCTCACAAGGTGTTGTTATCTTAAGCCTTGCTGCAGTGTGCTGGAGCTGTGCTTCTCAGTGTGAGCATGTGGAGTGGTAATGATCTTGAACTTTACACAAGCTCGCTTAAGATGCTAACTTCTCATGCAGGCGCATTATTTTGATGCCATAAACAACATAATGGGGCTCCCACAGGGTGCCGGTTAGTACATTGTCAAGCAGAGCACATTTATGTGCTGTTGAAGCGATTTGGGTGTGTAATAGGTAACTGCTTTTGCAGCTTCAGTCACCATCAAAACCATTAAAGGGCCATTAAAACAGGGAGAGAAAGTCAAATACAATATTTCTAATGAAGATGCTTGCTGCATACCCATAGTTGGAAACAGTTGTAATATACTGCTGATAGTCATCCAAGCCATTCTGGTTTAGCTGGTAGTAAGGAATCTCTTTTATTCTAAGAGCTTTTTCATCAGTCATATCCTCAGTTGATGTGCATTAGCAGATGTTGCCATTTTAACACTAGTTGTACGTCTGACTTAGCTCTCTTAACTTTACAGACTGGGAATTTGGTGTGCAATGGGTGGTTTGGGAGTATGCCTTTGGTATGAGAGGAGGTGAGGCAAAACCAGGTAGGAATCCCTATGCAAATACCTCTGTTCAATTATAGCGTTGGTTTGCTATAGAAAAGAGTGTAAGAAATTCCTCTGTGGTAGTGGTGAAGTTGAAAACAATTCCAAGTATGCTATGTATTGCTCTCTTCTAAACTTGACGTAAAAAAAAAAAAGTAAAATAAAATCAGGACTTCTTGATAGATAAAGAAAGAAAATTCTTGTACCACTTGCCTGAGTGAAGGAGGTCCTCTTGTGCTGCTGGTGCCAAGCAGATTACCTGGCTTACTGTCGCCATTCCTAAACGATCAGGTTGGCAGGAATGGCATTGAGGATCCTCACGAACACAGCTGATACCTTATCTTCCTCTTCCTTCCTGGAAGGCTGCTGAAACTAGGGGAGCAACAATTTCTTTGCTGTTGTCAAACTGGGTGGCTACAAGACGTGGGTGTAGTTCAAAGTGTTTCCCTTTCCTACTTTGTCCCAGGAATGGTCCTTCTATTGCCCACATTTCCAGGAAAGTTTTGCCTTTGGTTTTGCAGTTTGGAATTAAGAGACAGTTTGGGCTTTGACTCCCGCGGGATGAAGAGGCAGCTGTCTTTGGGAGGGTTGTGGTTGGTGCCACAGAGCATCTATGCAGGCAAATGGTTATCTTGATGAATGTGCTCCTGGTCCAAGTGCCAGGAGTTCCAGTAGTGAGGCTGGTGGCTGTGGCAACTGGAATTGTGGCTGTCAGCATGCAGGAAGGATCCTTTGGCTATGGCTGTGAATAGTACTTGTGTGCGGCATGGGTGGTGGCCTGAAATGATTTCTGCTCTGTAGAGATACAGGCTGGCAGGCCCTGGAGCTATAATGGATGTTTTAAGTCACTCCTCATTTTGTTTTTTGGAGTTCCTCTGTTGTAAGGGTTCTGAGTGAGCAAGTGACTTGGGTTCTTGTGAAAGCAGTCTTGGCTACACTAGGTAGAGTGAAAGAAGTAAAAGGAAGGGAGGGAGGAGTCAGCATCTGGTGCATAATGGTAGATGGGTCTTTGGGGTACCTGGTAGCAATCTGCTATACCGCTGTGCTCTACCTGAGGTTGGGGAAGCCCATGGCTGGCCAAAGGTTGAAGGTCAGCCAGTCACACACTGAAGCATCCCACTACATGCTGGCCCTGTGGCAGTGAGAGCAGCAGTGAGTCTAGTGGGACCTCCTCACTGTGGCTTGCAGACCATATTGGAATAGTAGAGAGATGCAGCCAGACCAAGGTAAATCTTGAGCAGTTTGTGTCTTAGTATTTAAATCTCATTCTGGGAGAATTTCTGTGTTCTGGGGCCTATGGTAGCAGAGATTATTTCCAGTCTTTTTCTCCTATTTGCATTGGGATGAGGCTGAGTGGTGGGTGTAGATATAGCATGCTTCAGTGGGATGAAAAAAACTATTTCAGAGCAATGATAAGTTCCGGTCTGATACTTTTAGCCTGGCCATATATGTCACATTTCTCTCAGGAGTGACACTGTTTGAAGTATGCTCTTGCAGGATGTTCCCAGATGCTTTTTGTGACCGTGTCCCCTCCTAGGTCAGAGGCTCCTCTTGCTGTGATACCAACTCCTGCAAGAGACCACGTGTTCTTGAGATGCTTTTGCATCTGGGTCTTTGTGGTCTGTGTCACAGCAACAAGAGAGATGGGTCATGGATGGACTTAAGTGCAGGGTGGAGCGGAGTTTATTCCAGGTGAGGGTAGGTTGCTATGGGGTTGTATCAGAGGAATTGTCTAGCCCCCGAAGCTTGAATTGCTTCTGAGTTGACTGTACTTCCTGGATGCTGTAAGCAAACAAACCTGCTGGGGCACAAGATCAAGCTGTCCATCGGCGGAGCTCTGTGTTACTAGCTCCATCAAGCACCTTGGACACCAGCTGCAGCTGCTGGAAATACGCAGTACTTGCCATAGCTTATTTTGCAAAACTATACTGGAGAAAAGTGTTTTCAATGCCATGAAGGTTGGGATTAGCCTAAGAAAGCCAATCTGGAGCAAGCTCTTGGGCCTGGGCTGTCAAAGCAGAAGCAAGCTGGTAGCAGTCACAACTTGAGAACTTCATATTAAAGCCACAGCAATTTTTTTGACACTTGGTAAAAGAACTGAACAAGAAGGTGCTGTCATGAGTGAGCAACACAGTAGTGTGGAGCGCTAAGAAAACAGCCCAAATGGCAGAGATTAAATAATGAAAACCTCCCTTTGTGGAGGAGCAGTGAATGTGGTGTGCTCTCCCTTCTTAGCATGAAGTGGCATAGTGAAAGAAGTGGCTTATTTCCAAATTGTACCCATTTTTTTTTTACAACAGTTTTCGAACAGGAAGTGTCACTAATAACTGCGTCTTCCAGGTTGGGCAAAGGCCAAATGCAATGGCAAGATGCACTTAAGCCTGGAATATGGCTGTGTTTCAGCCTTTGCAGAAGAACCATTAACAAGGAAGGAACTTTTGTCAGAAGATAACAAATTCTACTCTCAATGAGTTCTGGTTTTCATCAGCTTTCTTGTGTGTGAAGTGCCTGTGGCCTAATGGAAAAGAAAGATGAGCTGTGTATCAGCTTCTCCACCAGTGGGACAGTTGTGCCAGCTGGCCCACTTTATGCTGCTTGCAGGGAATGTGTAGCCTTTGGTGTCTTATATCTTTCTGCCATGGCTGGAATGGCCTGGTGGCTTCTGGCCATCTGTGGGGTCACAGCTACCGGAGGGTGCCTGTTGCCCATGCTGGCACTCCCTGACTCATACTTCCTTAGCAAGCACTCTGCTCTTGCAAAAACATCTTTTCAGTCTCAAAGCCAGAGGCTCACATACATTTCATTGGTGTGACCTCCAGCTTCTGCCTCAGTTCTGCAAGGGGAAGATGGATCAGCTCAAACTTCAGTCAGATTTCTGATCTGAGTAACTTCTGTTAAGTCTAATTAAAACTCTGAAAGAACAGTGGAGGTCAATGCTGTAAAATAAATACAAATATGTGATATGAAATAATCACGCAGAGTCAAACAGCTCTGGCTGTGTTAGAGGCAGATATATACACATTTTTACATGCTCTGATGCTGCATTGCAGCTTTACGGCTTGTCTTTCTGCGGAGGAAATGCAGGTTTTTACACCTTTGCAAATGTAACTTCTTCCAGTAGCTCTTCTGAAGAACGATTAGCTTTTTGTTATTTTTTTCCCCCACTATTGAGTTTCCTGAGCTTGAGATGCAAAGAATATTTTAGTCACTCTGAGCTGTCTTAGACCAACCATGTTTGTAACACTGATTTGAGAAAGGAAGATGGTCTCTCTTGATAAACCCTCTTTCTTTACTTCCATCAGTAAACCAGAATGTTTTAGTTTGGTGTAAGAGGAAAATAGGTGCAGCACTTGACTTCTCCTAGTTCTCAGTCTCAGCAGGTGTTGCCTAGGTTTTGGAAAAAAATTAGTTGTTTAAAGATACAGATGTAACTTCTGGTATCCTCATGAGGAGCCCTATTTTAGCTTCTATAGGGCTGAAATTCATGTGGGCAGACTTGTAGTCTAACTGAACATTGTTCTGCCTCCTGAGATATCTAAATATCATGGAAGTGCAATACCTACTGAACAGAAGCAGTCTGTCAGTTTGCTAAATATACTCAGAACAGATTGAAGAAAAAAAGTAAACGCAAGATTTCTAGTATATGCACTGATGAATTCTCAGAATAAAAATGCTGGCTTTGTGCAGTTTTCCTTAAATCAGGCCTCTATCCTAATGCTGTCTGATATGATGAAGGTGAAATACTTGCCTTGTGACTTCTGACTATTTAGATCTTTTTGCTCTGTTTTCTAAGAAGATGGTTCTTTGTACAGTGAGCATCAGCATACCTCTCAGTGAGCTTGCTTTGACTTGACCTGCACGCATACTGTAGAAATAATACATAGATGTCCAGAGGTCCTTACAGCATGCATCAAAAAATCACTGACTTGGCAAATGGAAAATGCTGAGTGACCTTTAAAGGTAAAGTGTAATCATAAAGACTTTAAATTAAAATGCTGTGCACATTCACACAGTTACAGCTCAGACAGTGTCAGCCTTTGCATATTAAAAAGCATTTAATTCAGAATAGCAGCTGAGTGCTTCCTTACAGCTTCAACCAAACAACAAAGCAAGCATTTCTTTAAGAGGAGAAAAACTGACATACAGGTGTAGAGCAAGATTAACAGACTGAAAACAAAATCTACCTGCAGCTGTTTGATTCTGCTGGTACAGAATGCATTTTTAGTTACTGTTTCCATGGCTTTTCTAAGAGGAGACTCTTGTGCCTAGTTTCTGAATTGAGCCTCTCATCAGACACTGAACTTTTGTGAAGTGTGCCTTTGAGGAGGGAGAACAGCCTTGATAGTATCTGCCCTCTTAGTTTTTCTCTCTTCAGCCTGAACGCTTCCCAGGAGGCAGTTCCTGGTAAACAAATTCTGCCATGTCCTGAGCGCAATGAGAAGCCTGCAAAGCCCTGATTCCTTTCGGCACATTCCTGGGGAGCGGGCACAGGGTGTGTGCCTGGGAGAGCCTAGCAGTGGGGATGAAGGAGCAGAGCCACCTGCCTCAGTGCTGAGCCTAAGGCCTGCCTTGTACCGGGACATGATGAAGCCTGATAAGCAGGTAAGAGTGCTTGTTGATGATGGCTGGGCCCTCAGTCAGCCCAGGAGCCTGTAGGTGGTTGTGGACGTCAGCAGGTGCCTGGAAAGGGTTTGTCTTGAGGTTTCCTGAGGAGAATGTGATGGTCTCTACCTATGTGGAGGACGTGTATCCCTTAAGTTTATTTGGCCTCTTATTCTGCTCCTGCAGGCTTCTGGCTTCCGTGACACTGCTTTGAAGGGAACACTGTGGTTTGAGTACAGACTGTTTGAGGAACCATCTCCTCCTGCTTGGTTCAGTGCTGACTCTTTAATACCTTCTTTTGATGTCTTCTGGCTGATGTATTAAAAGAGGTGGTGAATCACTTTTCATAGGCTTTTCCAGACCCCCTGTGAGTGCGTGCGTCTCTGCCATGCATTTCCAGCCAGTTCTTTCCTTTAGTTGAAAAGCTATACCTGATTCAGTCATCCCTTTGTATAATCCAAAATGCTGGAGAATGATTATATGGATTGCCTTCACATTAGTCCTGTTCTTTCTCCCAGACCTCCTGGCTCTTCACAGACCTCCCTGTAACTCCCCTGCACCTTTGCTAATGTTGATATTGCTTGCTTCAGGTGAGATGAAGCCTTGCAGACCTGCTCTTTTCAGTCTTAATCTATTTACTATTGCTTTAATTTAAAAGTTGCGAACACACATATTAGCATGTAGGAGTGTGTGTGAGGAAAACAGAACATGGTGTACGAGGTCGTACAAAAATAAAAACTACAAACCATCTCAGTAGTCTTTTTATGAGCACCAGTGTTCTCTCAGTTCCCTCTCTGCTGCCAATGCATTGGCTTTCAGAAGCTAGCGTGTTTATTTTAGCTCCAGCTTTCCCTATTTCATCCTGTTACTTTGGAAAGTGACTTAAGAAAAGCTCAACAGAAATAGGCTTTTCAGAACAATTAGCACAACCTGCCAGAAGCACTAAGGCTTGCTGAGTTCACACCCACACAGGAATTCTAAATGTGCTTAAAAACCAAGGGGTGACCGTTAGTGGTGCCGGGTGATTGGATGGTTTGTCCATCCATGGCAGCAGAGGCAGAGCTCTCATTGCTGTGGAGATTTGACCATGGAATGGCAGCTTGATGTGGACACTGTTGGGAACCTGCTGAAGAAGGCAGCACATCTATCAAAACCTGTCCATCATTTTTGCCTCTCTCTTATGTATTTCTTTTTATTAGCAGTTCCTTTTCGAGTTACTGTGTTTCAGTGAATCTCTGAGGGAGATTCTTGGCTGTGGAAGAGAACACTGACACAGGTATTTAAATTGCTCCTGAAAGCATAAGCTCACCAGATCAGGGTATATGATAGGCTGCTGAAAGGCATTTTGTATCTTGCCAGAGATGCGGGTGAAGAAGTGAGGATTCTGGGCTGAGGAGTGGTCTGTGTGTGCGGCTGTGAAGTCATTCACAGCTGATGCTGGATGTACTTAATTCCCTTCAGCCTCACAGCAAAGAGAAAGGTGGTAAACTTTGCCGGGTAGAGCACTGCACATAAGAGAGTAAAGAACTGTGGCTACACGCCTGTGGCACACTGTAGCTGTAAACCCCTCATCCTAACTGCTCTTTCCCTCTTGGATCTCCAGAAGAACTAGAGTCAAGTAAGCCTAAGAACTGAAATCACCTTTCTTCCTCTGAATGGGGTGGCAGAGTTTTATTAACAAACCTTATAGGGAATCTTCTGAGGGAACTTTCACTTCTCTATCCTGGTGCAGTCCTTAAGGAGAGGTCCCCTTCCTCCTGAGGTATTTTTAATGTGACTGGTCTCCTGCTGTCTGTCTTACTCACGCTCCCTGAAGAATCAAACTTGTTCACTCCTCCCATTCTGATTTTTCCTAAGCGCCATGTTGTCAGGTCTCTTCTATGAAGTCACTGTGGTCTGTCTCACAGCGTCTGGCCTGTTGGGCCAGAGACAAATGCAGCCTCTTCAGCTACCAACCGAGAACCATGACCCAAAGGATTAGGCTTGATTAAATGTGATCAAGTATGCAGAAAGTACTGCTAGAGAGGTGGGTGAATGGGCAGGGACTTGCTGCTCTTCTGCCTAGAGCTCAGTCTGGACTGAAAAACAGTGTGTTTGAGGCTTATGAGAAGTGTATGTACAGCTGGACTGATCCCAGCTGGACTGGGATTGATGCTTTGAGTGTCAACTTCTGTGACAGTGACAATCACCAAATGCATCAAAGGTGGTGGTTAAAGCCCTCTGAGGGAAGCAATTAAGAAATGAGCTGACCGGGATGCAGATTTCTTTGCTCTTTAGCTGAAGGAGAAGGCTTAAGCAGGAGTTTTATATCCCTTCCAATCTTGCTTGCTTTTAATCCTTGCTAATGCAGCCTGGAAAGCTCCATGAACATTTGCCCAGCCCTTCTTTGAGCTCCTGGTTTCAGGGGCATTATGACTTCAGCAAGATTTAGGTGAGTGACAGAGTGAAGAAAGGAAAGGAGAGCTAATTCTTTTCTCTTGATTTTCTGCTTTAACTCTTCGTTCTGTTGTCTCTAAGGAAGAAGCACAGTAAAGCAATAGTCTTAAAACCGGCTCATACCTCACAGCATTCTCATTCTCTCCCTCTTTTAAAACCGGCTCATACCTCACAGCATTCTCATTCTCTCCCTCTTCTTTCTCTAATATCTCTTGTTTAGATGAAGTAATATAACCTTGTTGCTAAGCCTGGGTCTGGAGGCTGTGAACTGCTTTAGGTTATGCCTTTCAGGTGGCAAGATGAAGGTCTTACAGACCCTACTTGGACATCTAACTTTGAAAGATTGTCCTGTACACTGAAAAATCATTCACTTCTACTAGTTATTGGGTAGTGAAGAGAACATCGCGAGCCAAACTGTGCACAGTGCTCTTTATGATAAGGTATGGGCAAATATAAGCCCTTGAAAAATGTGTTTGCTGGCAGGGAAGCTCAGTACAGATGTCTGTGAAGTTCTGAAGAGCAATGCTGAGAGATGGAGATGCTGTATTGCATAGGTACATAGATCAGAAATTCCTGACTGCCCAGGAACTGGAGCATTCTGCCCATTTTATTTTACTATTTAATTCATCTGTGAGCAGAACTTGGCATCAGCTAGAATTCTAACCACTGCATCCTTAGCATCAGTCTGGGTACAGTAGGTCTTTGTCTGGCTCCATAAGCTGCTCCTGACCACGATATCTCCAACTAAGAGCTTTTTCCTGCATGCAGCCGTCCCTTTTCCAGTCGTTCCTACCACAAATCCTGCAAATGAATGCAGGCCTGAAAAAGTAGGAGAGACGTGGAGACTTCTTCCACACTTCTATTATCATGCTTGTGATACTATTCTTTACTCTAGAAAGTCCTTCTATTTTTTTTGTGTGTATGTGTTTTTCTCGAATTATTTGACAGGTTAATGTTAGCAGGTCTATCAGAGTAGCTATAAGAGTCGTAGTGGTAAATAGAACAGTGAATGAGTGATGAATACATCCAAGAATGTCACAGATGATCTACTGCTCAGTTATTAAGCATGTGTGCTGGTCCAAATTCTTCAGCACTGGCTCAAGGCAGAGAGGTGGGAGAGGTAATTGGGGAGAAAAAAACCCAGGAAAGCCGGGCAGTGTTGTAGGGCATGTAGCAAGATGGTTATTTGCCAGAATGGTCTTGGAAGAAAATGCAACTGTTGGAGAGCTGGCCTCAAGGGAAAGCATAGATTTGTGATTTCATTTATTTCATCTGTTAAAGATCATGTGTTATCGTGAATTATGTGTCTCCTATATTTTGAATTTCTGTTCGTAGCTGACGCTTACCCTCAGGTATTTGATGGAAGTGCATAGAAGTTATTAATGTCCTGGGGGGCAGAATGTTCCATAGGCCTTTTTTTTTTTTTCTTTGGAGTTCCATAGGCCTTTTTTTTTTTTTTTTTAGTATTTTTGTAAGCAAAGTCCTTTGCCATGAACCATGAAATGACTTGATATGCTGTAAGAACGCTGCTTCAGACATAGGGTATGAATACAAAGATTGATGAAGAATTTATAGAGTTAATGATTTATTTCATCTGTCACCTCAGAAACAAGAATTACAGGCTCTGTCTTGCCCAGCTATGTAGAAACTCAGTGCTGATTGCAAACAGTATTTGCAGTACAGTGTATTTCTGGAGTGTGTTTTGGAGATTTGATTTGTCCTCACCTCTCAGAAAACTAATTTTAATGTTAGTCATGCAGCCTTTCTTTCCTCTGAGAAACTGGGCTTTACCGTGTCAAATTGCTTCTTATTAGTAGGAAGTGGTGGGTGGAGCCTGTGTGACACCCGGGTGCTTGATCTGTCCATCCATCCATCCCCCCAGCTGCCTCCTTGTGAGCCAGGAGGATTACCCCGAGCCTCCTCCTGGCTAAAGAAGCACGTTTAACTTGTTTGAAAAAAGGTTTGTTTGATCAAACAAACCTTTTGTTTGATCGTAAACAGAAGGTTGGGTTGATGTAAACAGTGGAGGTCGGGTGTAAACTGCCTGGCAGAGACCCTCAGACATCTCTAAATACCTTTCTACATGCCTCACTGTCCTTTTACCCATTTCTGACTCTCCCTGCTGTAGCTCTTACTCCTCCCTTTCACTGTCCTACTCTTTTCCCTCTGAAACAGCCTGTCCTGTTTTTCATGGGGGTTCTAGCTTTGTAACATTCTCAGTTGAATTTACAGTTTCTGATACTCTCGCCCAGGCACTTTAAACTTTACCTTGCAACCTACCTGAATGGATCTCGTGTTCCTGCTGCCATTTGTTTTTTTTTCCACTGAAGATAAATAAGCTTTGTTTATTTTGACTCTGCAGGCAGAAGCACTTGTATGGGATAATGATATATCAGCTCATGCCCAGTCTGTTGCCAAGGCCAAATATGAATTTTTGTTTGGCTTGGAGGAAGAGAAGCCTTCAGAAGTGGGTAAGTGCTATTTATCACTAATATGTGCAAAAACAGACTGAAGACCTTTGGGAAGGAATTGCAGAAGCTGCTCCTGATAGCCATGCAAGGGCTCACTTGCTGTGCCATACTGCCCTTCACCAGAACTCAGCGTATGTGCCAGATCAAAAGAGCCCGATGTTTTGGCCATGGCAAATTAAAGCAGTTCTTTGTCTTAAGCCCTTATCTTTCTATTTGGCTCAGCTGGGCAGCCTTGATGTGATGGGGGCTCATGTGCCAATCACACACACAGGTGATGGGGGTGGTGGATGGAGCCTGGCACTTCTACACAGTGGAGACATCTCAGCCATGTGTCTGTACTCCACATGCCAAAACACAGCTCTGCCTGGCAGTCCTTCCAGGAATGCCCTGTATGAGCTGCACGCTGCTGTTCTGACAGCCAGAAGTAGATAAGATTTTAATTTAGATACTCTAGGTATACCTGAACTACTCCCTCCACTGTGTTCAGTAATTAATGTACTCCAGATGCAATATCTACTGTTATGCCTAAGGATCAGTCTTGTTTCTGTACTGTTCTTTCAAACGGAGGGGTGTATCCTACCTTTCCCCAACCCCAGCTGAGATTAAAAAAAAAAAAAGTTGTTACTGTATCTGTTTTTTGTTTTTTTTTTTTGCTTCATTTTAATTACCACCAATCTCTGCCATCTTTGCAAATGTATTTCCTTAGGCTGTTCTCTTTGCACCTTGATCCCTTCTAATCGCAAACTTTCTGGAATGTCACTTTTAATTAAAGATGATTCTCTTCCTACTGGAGAAGGGCAGCACAGAAACAAGCTGTGAGTTCCCTTACTTTAGTTGGGGGAAAAAAAAAAAAAAGAAAAAGCGTCAGTGAAGTTTGGAAAGCGAGCAGTATGTTTCTCCTGGATTTCCTAAAGATAGGTCTTCCATGTGGGAAATCCTAATTGCAGAGCAGTTGGAGAGACAAAACCAAGCAGACGTCTTCATTTAGGAATTTTAAAAACTTCTACAAATTGCTACAAACATGTAGCATATAACATTATTACATGAATCACAATGACCTCATTTCTAGTTTGGTAATAGACAATGTGAGAGTACTGTCAGCAGGCATTAGTACAATTCTGGAGATTGGCATTAATGAAGTATGCTGTGTCTAATAAATCCAAGTGAATCTATTATAGTTACTAGCCAAAACAATTAGCAAGCATGATAGGCATTCAGAGTCATTTGACTACTTAGCAATAAAAGAAAGCGTGGCAAAGTATCAGCCAGAAGTATGGGCTTATGTGTGTTCTTCACCATAGTTTTGCTGTGTCGCCTCTTGCCTTGTATCTGAATTACCTTCTGTACCTTTATTAATTAGAAAATATTATTAGGGGCTAACAATTAATGAAAGGGAATGGCTCCAATGGAGAATATGCAAATAATTTAACAGTGGTTAACATCTAACATTTGTATAGCAGTTTTTGGGTATGATTCACAAGTGCTTTTTCTATACCATTATGCCTAGAGAATGAATGTGATAAATACCACACAGAGTCTCAGAAAGGGTCCCTTACTTTGCAGTAGGGGGTTGCTTCAGCCAGAAAAGAGAGAAGATGAACTCCAAATGGGACCTTAAGGAGCCTCCTTGGCCCGTGTTCCAGCCACTTTGTCTGGGTAGAGATCTGCAGTCCTCTGTTTGTCCCTTGGGTAGTGATAAAAGTTTACTAAGCCATACGCCTTCTGTTGTAAATTTTCCCCAGCTGGGCTGAGGATATGTGCTCTCTTTGAGGCTGCTATTCCTCCTGCCCAAAACTCAGATTCCCTACTGTGTGTTATTATGCCTACCCTGACCTGTTTCTTGCTGTCATAGGCAAATGTGGCCTCCTCCTTCTCCTGGAAGATGCTTGACAAAAACAGATGCACAAAGATGGCACTGCTCCTTCTACTTGTTTTCTTCAAACCAGTGAACTTTAGTTTGTTCTTCACTACAGATTAATGAGTATGGAGCTGACTGACTGCAGCAGTACAAACTCAGGGCCTTGTGCACCAAAACCCAGCTTTCTTTGACTCAATATATACTAAATATGCTGTGATAGAACTGCAGCGAAGGGTTGGGAACTGTTTCAGTGGAAGCAGCTATGTCTGGAAGTCTCTCTATTTGTGGAGAGGGGGCAACACCACTGAATATGCAAACCAATTTGCTACTTTCTATAGTTGCTTTTAAAAGAAAGATGTTGTGCTTTTCATGTGTCAAAGTTTGTAAGATTTCAAGTGAGTGAGTGACAAGGATAGTGGCCAGGAGCAGCACTCCTGTTTAAACTTAATCAGGAGAACAGCTTGTCACTGTGAGCAGTAAAGCTGAACTTTCTTTTATCTAACTCAAAGAGGTTTCACCCATGCTTTGGCTGGCCTCAGAAAACGAGAACATGATACGTAAGCTGCTGAACAGCGTAATTAGTTATGCCTCCTAATTCGTCCTTTCTCTCAAAAACAGTCTTATTTGTGAGACCCCGTTGGATGCTGTTGAGAATCTATTTTTTTTATTTGGGTACTGAAATGCTTGTATTGGATAAGACACTTTAAAAAGAGGGGAGAATGACTGGGGGAAAGCATGCCAAACACTTCTGTTTGCATAGGTCTCACTCTGGAGACAGCAGACATGGTTAACAAGCTTATGGTCATTTTCACAGAGGAGAGGAGAAAAGAATCCACTTAGATGCATATAGAAGAGATGCTTAATTGTTGTATTCAATTGTGCATTCTAGTAAAGCTGCCACAGTACAAACACTTTCTCAATTTTCTCTTTAGTACCCTCAGTCTGCTTTTATCTGGGAGCTTTGTAATCTCTGATAATCTGTACGCAGGCTCTGTCTTTGGTTTGTGACTTCTGTCTGGCTTCTTTTCCTTCTCCTCCATTGCTGGTCCTCCTCCTGCAGGGAAGTGGGTAGATGTATCCACACAGAAGCAGATTCAGGCCCCCTGCACCCTTGTCTCATTCAGTCGGGATAAGGGGACGTGTGTTTTCCTGCAGAGCCCTGCTCATGGTCTCTGTGGCCACGTGCCCCAGCACTGCCTCACCAAACTCCTCAGAAGTGCCTCAGACTCCTGCCTCCAGCAAAAGAAAATATTTTCTAAAATCTGAACTCTGTGGGAGTGCACAAGACGTCTTCTCAGCATCGCTAACATAAAGGGCGCTTGTTGTTTAGGTCTGAAAGCATATCCTCCTCTGGATCTGGCCATGCAAACAGTGGTCTCTGTTGAACAGCCCCATCTCTTAGGCCTTGGTAGGCTGCAGAGTACTGATTTTTCTGACTTAGCACTTCATACATCTAAATGCCAAAAAAAGAGTCTTGACAAAATGACAGTCCTAAAAAGTGTGTCCCTTATTTTCGAAGGAGCCCTACAAAATGACTGCTCAAAGAAACATGTAATCCAAGAAATTCCTAATGCCTATCATATGAAGAGAGAAATCCAAGAAAATATCTTCGTAAAATGCATGAAATCTTTTCTCTGATACTTCTAGGAGGGGAAGCTGTTAGTCCTCCTCTGTAACAGAAAGCTTAATCTTTTTCACAAAAAAAGCCCTGTACAAGTAGTCCTGGGGTTGCTATGCAAATCTGGTCTTTCCCAACAGCTGCTGGGAAAAGCTTGTTTTTGAATTCCTGGTGAAACGAATAGCTTTTTGGAAAGCCTGTCACTCACTGTTTTGTGTACAGTGAGGTGTCATGAGGCAGCTGAGCTCATTGTAACAGCTTGCTTCTGCCAAAAGGACTGGTTCCAGCCACACACTGCTGTGCATTGCCTCATAGTAACTCTTCTGTTCTTTTGATTTCTTAGCAAGCTTAATCCAGCAAAAACTTGGTAAGAAAAGGTCTAACAAAAGGCAAAGTCTCTCCTGGCAATGCATGCTGAATAACCTCTGCAAGTGATCAAACAGTGCCAGAGCTGGCACACAGAAGAGAAGGAAATACATACCTTAACCCATGTGACAATATTTATTCTTGAATGTGAATCATGGAGATGAGCGCATTTGCTGTAGATTTCTCTGACTTGTTTCAAGACCTAAGGAAGAGCATGGTGTTGTTTCTTTGTATGTCTTTTTTGTGGTCCTAGATGGCTGATTTAAGCAGCCTTAAGAAAGTTATACCTGTAACTTATAGTAAAATATCACTAACTTTGTAAGTTCTTTGCTCTTCTGCCTTGCTTTCTTTGTCTTCATCATTTTGAGTCATGTATGTCCATCTCTGCTACATCTTCTTTGCGTCTGCACAAACATGGCACCTTCCTGACCCTAAGTCTCAAAACTTCCCTTAGATCAGATTTATTTGCTTACATGTTGCACCATTCTCATATTTGTGGGGATGGCTAACTGTAGGCTTCCTCAGCATTTTAACCACATCACTTTCTGTTTCAATACCCCACCCTCTGTCATTTTTTTCTTTCTCACTCCTCCCGCCTCCAGGCGGCATTGAAAGTCTGTCCTCCCCAGTATGGTGTTTTTGTCTGTGGCTTTTCTTTCCTGAAAAGGTGCAAAAGGGCATTCTGTGAGGACTGAAGGGCTGCCAGATTTCTAAGTCCATTTTGCAGTGACAGAGCCCCTGAAGATAGGTATGTACCTTTGAGATCCACTCCACAACATTTAGCAGGGATGCACTTTAAGACTGAAATCTGGAAAGCTAAGATGCGGTGCTCACACGCTCAGTGGAAATTCAATGTTATGTACACTTGAATCTGTAAGCTAAATTCCTATTGTTACTAGGGTCCTACCATTGTTTGTGACATGCTGAAGACTGGCAAGGGTTTTTAAATGATAGTATGCATTACTACTTTTTCTTGTGGCTGTCCCTGATGTTTGCTGTCTCTGCCGGGTAGTGAGACATTATGTGAAGCTCATTGCTCTGCAGGAAGAAATTGCACGTCTTGTGACCTGCACTTTAACAAGTTATCATAACCTAGAGCTGCAGGGAGGAGATTGCCACATCCTTGACTCAGTAAACAACAAAGCTGTTTGAAGGGCA